TATGTTAGCCTAGGAATCAATCATTTTTATCATAATATTATTAGAAGCTATCTGGGGAGAGAGACTGTCTCTTATTTTTGATAGCATAATTATCAAATAGTAGTGCTTTATTCATGTTAGGATGAAGTAGATACTTACACAAATTTAATTGGATAAAATAAGTTAACCAATATATACCACTAAAGAATATCTTACAATAACAGGCATTTAAAAAAATCTATTGGTTTTTATTTCTTCTGTATGCTTATCAAAACCTCAAAAAAAAAAGCTATGTACTATTCCTTCCCTTACTTTTTGAATCTTTAGCTAGTTTACTAAATTAGAATAATACAAACATAGATATTTAATTCACATTGGCCATATTTTGAGTCAATATTACTATATTTATGAACTGAAGCTGTCAAGCTTAAAATAATAATATAGAAAACTGGCTAAATTCTGAAGGTTGCTGTCATTTTTTGATGTTATTATTTAGTTAGCTTTTAAAATGCCTTGGTTGCTGGCTGGGTCCATCTGTAAAAAATATGACTATATATATATATATGTTTCATAATCTTTAAATATAATCTCCTTTATAAAGGAAATACTGAAAGCAAAGCCTCGTAGCATTTCCGTTCATTCATCAACTCAGTTTGAAGGATTACTTTCTCTCCAGAAAATAGCAAATATCATTATCCTACAGTGAACATGACATTATCTCAGCAGGTAGAATGGAAGTATATGGATTATTATTCTCTGCAGGTCCCACTTGATGATTCACCAAACATTCTAAGGTGAGTTTTTTGTATCCAAGCCATTGTCTAATAAAAATAAATGTGAAGATATGTCAACTAAATTTTTGATGTCACAGAAAAGACATGTATACTCAGATTCTGAAGATGGCGCTTTGTTTTCTGGCATTGAATATAATTTTACTTAAGTAAAAACTGTTTATTGTACTGATAGTTGTAGGCAATAGCTTATTCAGGATAATCAATGATATGTCTTACAAATAGAAACTGAACAAAAAGAGGAGTATAAAATCTAATTTATTAAATAATCAAACTGATTTAAAACACTTCAAATATAACATAACATATTGGCCACATATAGATCCGACCGGATCTATTGAGCACAACACTATCTTCAATGAAAAATACGGATATAAAATACAACAAATTGATGAATATTGAAGGACTTTAATAAAATTGAAATGAAAAAAGGTGACATTGTTCTTATAGATAGCATTGTTATTAAGCAATTATAGTTCTCTAGAACAGTAACTACAAAGACTGTAGATATGAAACAGTGGCGGAAAAAGCTTTAAATCTAACAACGCTGAGTTCAAGTTATGGTCCTACTGCTTGTTGACTAGCAGGGTAGCAGTGGGAAACAGGACTGCTTAGCCAAGTCAATTAACCTGTTTCGGCCTCAGATTAAAGGCCTAAGCTTTAACAATGCTATTGTTAATATTAGAAATAATATATATGTAAAGGAGCTAGCAAAGTATCTGGCCCTCATGTGTGCTTAATAAGTATCATCAATCATCAGTGTCATTAAAGACATTTAGGAAAGGGTATTTTCCTATCACAGATATCTGAAGGAAATGAGGCCATGGAGAAATCTGAGCAAAGAACCATCCAGGCCAAGAGGAGATGAAAATCAAGTTCAAAAGCTTGAAGGTAGCTATGATGCTAAGAGACTAGAGGAGACTGTTACAATGACTGGAATGAACTAAAAAAAGCAGAGCTGAAGCCGGGCACAGTGGCTCACACCTGTAATCCCAGCATTTTGGGAGATTGAGGTGGGTAGATAATGAGGTCAGGGGTTCAAGACCAGTCTAATCAACATGATGAAACCCATCTCAACTTAAAAATACAAAAATTAGCTGGGCATGGTGGCGCACACTTATAATTCCAGCTGCTTGGAAGGCTAAGGCCAGAGAATTGCTTGACTGTCCTACTGTTAGTGACAGCTGGCAATATATTAGACAATGCTTTGGATCTAAAAACTCATCTTAGAATGTTTGGTGAAACATTAAGTGGGAAGTAGAGAATACAATCCATATACTTCCATTCTTCCTTCTGGGATAATGTCATGGTCACTGTAGAATAATGATATTTGCTATTTTCTGGAGAGAAATTAATCCTACAAATTGAGTTGCTGAATGAACTGAAAAACCTAGCATAGATGAAGCTATTATTTAAAATTTACTCAAACCTGACTTGGCTCTTATTGTAGATTCTGTAACTATTCAATGTATGAAATTACTCTATATATTTCTTCTAAGAGGAGCCCTTAGCTCTTTTATCAGGTTCAGGTATACATAGTTACCCCTCAGTATCATGTAGGATTGGTTCCAGAACCTGTAAGGATTCTAAAATCCACAGATGATCAAGCCCCTGATAAAAATGAGACAGTATTTTCATATAATCTATGGATATTCTCTCATACACTGGAAATCATCTCTAGATTACTTTTAATACATGATAAAAGATTAATGCTAATAGCTGTTATACTGTATTGGTTAGAGAATGCCAAGGAAAAAGTCTGCAAATGTTCAGTACAGACGTAATGTTTTCCCCAAATATTTTTAATTGTTGTAGTTAGTTGAATCTACTGATGTGGACACCATGGATATGGGAGGGCCAAGTGTATATTTGCTTTTTGGATAAATGAACACATTTCCAACTAAATGTGTCCAAAATTAAATTGATGTCCTCACCCAAGTCATGTGCATCATATCGACATCACCAACATAACATCACCTTAAAAAAAAACCTGGGAATTACTTCATCTTATTTGCGACAATTCTCTCTCTCTGTTCTTCCTAACATACCCAGTTCAGGACATCAGCAGCATCTACCCTAGACTCTTATGCCTCTGCTCCCCTAAGATTTGCCTTCCAGAGAGACGATCAGGTTGACTTTACAAAACCACTATGTTTTCTTACATGACTTTCTAATTTAAAAGTCTTTCCAATAATTCCTCCTATTGATTGGATAAGTCTGAGTTTTTATCAAAGCAAATTAACTTTCTGTGGCATGACCTTTAACTTTTCAAACCCACTTTGAATCATTTTATGCCCCAGTAACACTGACTAATAATTACCCATAAACAAGCTGTAAGGCTGTGCCAATAAGGTCACATACCTTTTTTCATCTGGTCGACCTCATTCTCTTACTGTGGGATGACTTCTTGGTATTCCTTCATTATCATAAGGGCTCTATCAACACGCTAGAAAGCCCAGAATTTACCTTAATCTCAAAATTGCCATGCTAAACTAAATTTAATTTATATTCTTCTTTATATACTTTACTGTATTTTGGGAGCTTTCAAATTGAGGTACTATAGTTATCTTTGTATTCTAGAATGTATAAAATGGCAATAGGTAATAAAGCGGAAAGGAAATTTTCCTATCACAGACACCTGAAGGAACTAAGGTCATGTAGAAATCTGAGAAAAGAGCCATCCAGGCTGAGAAAAGACTAAAACCAAATTCAAAAGCTTGAGGGCAGCTATGATCCTAAGACAAATGCAAATGAAAATGCAAATGCAAAATGTTCTTGGATAGAAAGATTCAACATCAAATGTATACAGTATATTCCTAAGTAATTAATTTATAAATCTGTGTTTCTAATAAAAATACAGTGAAAACAATGAAAACATTGAATTAGCTTATTTAATGTCAAAGAGAAAACAACAAAAGGAGAAGAAAAATTATTTGAGAGAAAGCTACATTGAGGAAGTTAGTAGCCCCAGAGGATAGAGCATACTATATAAAATTAACCAGCAAAATTCTATGGTAATAGCTCATAAAATATAAATAAAAGAATTGAATAGGACATCTAGATAAAAATCAAAATACGTAATAAAATATATAATAAATGCAACATCTAAAATTGGTGAGGAAAAGATGAACTATCCAGTGTCCTGTGTGGGGACCACAGAGTACTTGACTGGAAAAAACCATGGCTATATTAATACCTCCTACTGTATACCAGGAAACATCCCAAATACGACAAAGATTTGAATATGCAATATGAATCCACACAAAAATGAGTGGAAAATGTAGAATAACTAATCTGGGCTTAACATGACAATATAAGAAACTGATATACTTGCACACATTCACACTGATGCATATTCAATGTTATATATTTCTTCCATAGTTTTACATACTTATTAAGGAATATTACATAACTGTAAAAAAAGAATTTGAAGGGTTTATCTAGAATTTACAGGGAGAGAACCCCAGAATACATCATGAATGGAAAAAAAAATGAATAAAAATAAATATATTAATATATAAAATAATACATATACTAACAATATATACTATAGTATATTAGGATATAATATATATACTAATGTATTCATATATAATACATATGCTAATAATTTATATACTAATATATAAAATATACTAATATATAAATATGCTAACACATAAAAATTAATGTACTCCACTTTCCTGGGGCAAAGTGAAGGAGTATATTCATATTTATTCATATTTTCTTGGAATGATACTGAAAATCTGGAAATAATAACAAAAGGGATTTCTCAGGTAGGAGACTAGAAAGATACAATCATAATAGTAGGAAATATTTTAGCTTGCTCTATGTGTGTGTGTGTATATATGCACGTGTGTGTGTATACATATGATATATATATATAACTACTCTAATAATCATTCATACACTCAGAAATAACTTTGAAACCCTAAGACATTACATGCCACTGACACAACTATTAATTTCTTCGAAGAAAAGAGCCTCTCTTTCTCTGTCTGCAGCCTTACTTTTCTGTATGAATTTGGAAATAGGCCTCTGAGATTGTCTTTTTCCCACTATTTAACCAAATCAGAATATGCCTGTAGTTCCTGAGAATCTGGGCTCTCTGATTTTCTGATCTAATTTAGATATTTATAGGATAAAAAAATACTTGCTGCACGTCTTAAATTTAATTATAGGGTTAAACCGACCCGATGAAAAGACTACATTGGTTCTAATATAAATTACCTTCTCTCTGCAGGAGGAGCATTATCCGATGCTTGGACAGTGAGTGCGTAAGTCTGCCCGACTATCATTTCCACCCCTGGAGCGATGGTGATAAGCCCTGTTGTTTTATTGATGATGAAGTCTCCCTGAGCCCCAACAAGGATTTCATATGTGATCTCCCCATTTGACCCTTCGTCTGCGTCGACTGCAGTGAGCTGGAATTGAAAATCACAACATAAATCCTCTTGGGACTCAACTTTTCACCACCATGTCATATTTTCCCCCCAACAAAAGGAGCTTGCTTTCAACGAAATAAACACAAGTTTCCTTAACAAATATACTCTTATTTTTTTTAATCGACGTTATTGTGTCCTGTTACATTACTGAAGCCATCACAAGAATAAGGATGTTTTTTCTCTTTGTGAGAGTGATAAGAAATAAACTTTTGGATGTCAAAGGTTTATCTTTAACTTAATAAAGAGAAAAAGTGGAAAGCCCTAACAGAAAATCTAATATCCTTATAGGAAATTTAATTTTTTTTTCTGTCTTACCTTGTGTTTTTAACACGTAAACTCATATTAAAACAGACTGAACTTGGAAAAAATGAAGTATGCATAGTTTGCCTTTGTTACTCCCATCCTTCCTTTTACTCTCATTGTTCCTTTCATAATGTTCTCTTCCTCGTCTCCCAGAGACTCTGTCTTTGTGTCCCTTTTATTTACAATTGCTCTAGGAAAGATTAACTTGCACCCCCTGATTTACAAAGGACTGGTAAGTCATAGTGTATTAACAGTACATCAGTCAAACAAATGCCTCCCCCATTGTAGAATATCAAGGGTAACATAGCCTGATAAATGTTTCTTTGAGGAAAAGAAATCTATTCAGGGCCCTTGAAATTAGGCATGTAAACCTCTGTACAGGTAACTTACATATATCCGTAATGATTTTGAAGCAACTAGTATCTAATAAAGACTTTATTTGGGTTACCATATGTGAAAAGATAACAATAATTAACTTCATCAAGCAACACTAAAGCCACAGTGATCTATTAAAGATGGCTCCTTGACTTGCTGATCAATATAAAGAGGAAAAAATAATAAAAAGAGATTCTAGCAGGAAATTTTATAGTAAGCATTTTACATACATCAACAGTATTTTCTGTATTACTTATACAAAATGTGAAGAATGAAAGGTGGCTTCAATTTACACATGAAGGAATATAATTAAAAGTTTTCTGTGGAATAAAGAAAACACACATAATTGCAGTAAATTAACCTGTAGAAATGTTTTATATACTTACATTTTCTTATATACCTATATTTTCAATGTATTACTGCTAAATAGAAGTAGTTTGTATGGTTTTCAGACTTCTTTGAAAATGTGGTGAAGACACTGGCATACCTTCCTTGATCAAATGTAACATGCGTATTAACCTTGAAACTTGAATTCAATTTCAGGAACACCATGTTAATTAAATTCCCATTCAAAAGTTAATGCTTAATATCCTCAATAAATGTAAACAAAGTACTTTAGAGACTGCACTATACTGAAGGGGTTATATTATGCATATTCTATTTTTAATTATATGTCATGTTTAGAGTGATAATATTCACAGAAATAGCAAAAAAATAATTGAGAATAAAAAAGGAAATGGCATTAATGCAACCAAATTCTGACACTGGGCATTTGGGGGTGGACAGATGCAGCTGCTGGAAGGAAAGGCATGTTATGACATGATTCTTGGACTTGTATAAGCCTGACAGACATACTCCTAAAGTCAAAGGAGAAGAAAACTATATGCAGAAACAGTCAAAATGAATGACACATATGTATAGAGAATTATTGAAGCTAGACAAACTAATTCTCTTTTGTGTATGGATAAAATTAGAAAATAGGAGAATGGGGGTAGCAAAGGAGCTATCAATTTTGATTATAGTTAAATCACTTAAAATGTCTCCAGAAATCTTAATTAAAACTTAGCTCAAATTGGATTCAATATTAACATTCTTCCTGGGACTTAAATTGGCTAAAAGAATGTAATGATAAATGGCAATGCCTCAGGTTAAGAAAAGGTGTTAAGGCATATAACGTCAGGGATGTCAGTATTATAGCTGGTCTTACTTCACATTTTCATAAATGATGTTGGAAGGGAGGATAAGCTAGATGATAATTACATTGAGGAAGGTACCCACCTGGGAGATACTAGAAATGCCAACTAGTAGTGCAAAGCACAGGAGATAGAAACACCCCTAAATTGCAGAGCCAGTCAATCACAGTTGAGCTCAGGTATTCAAGGGACACAGTTAGCTCTGCGGAAATTATTAGCAGGTAGAAAGTTTAACAAGTAGATAAAACAAGGATTCTATGTTTAAGTTACGTAAATAACACTATTTTTCAGTCTTTTAGTACTAAATAATAAAATAATGGGTTATGAGTCAACCTAATTTGTTTGCATATATGCTAACAAAGGTATTTTTAAGAAAGCAATGGGAGTCCATGATGAGAAAAGGAGCTGAGACACTGATTCTGAATATCCAAAACATGATAATGTCTTCCATGTAAGATCATGAAAATGCAAGACTTGGAAAAAAAAACCAAACCCTCAACAGTATTACACAGTAGATGTCCCCTTCTGAAGTCTATTAGAGGATGTTGAATGGTGCTGTAGATGCTAATTTTAGAGCTAAGCTATGGCAGGAATTTCATTCAATTATAGTTAGTGACTCTGTGACTAGTAGATAGCATCTACGAGATGAAGATATATGAAGCTCTTTTCTAATTTAGTGGAGAAATTCGCTGCCTCCCAAATGAAAAGGGCATTTATTTACGTGGAGAACCCAATATTTTACTTACAAGTTTCAGATGAAAGTAAAAATAAATCTATGACTTTAAAGTGTTGATGGAAACATTGTGATATCTAAAAGGTAAGAAATACGGAGCTCTTAGTCTTTTATTTCTTTTCCATGATGTTTTACAGTTCTTTTCAGGAACTTTAGCCCACCTTTCACAATTCCTTCCTCTTGGTATTTCAACATGTGCATATTCCAAATGTCTCTATCTTTATTAGTCTGTTTTCATGCTGCTAATAAAGATGTACCCAAGACTGGGCAATTTACAGAGGAAAGAGGTTTATTAAAATTACGGTTCTACCTGGGTGGGAAAGCTTCACAATCATGGCAGAAGGTGAAAACCATGTCTCACATGGTGGCAGACAAGAGAAGACAGCTTGTGCAGGTAATCTCCTGCTTTTAAAACCATCAGATCTTGTGAGACTTATTCACTATCAGGGGAACAGCACAGAAAAGACTTGTCCCCGTAACTCAGTTACCTCCTACTGGGTATCTCCCACAACAAGTGGGAATTCAACATGAGATTTGGGTGGGAATACCTCCACACCATATCATTCCAACCCTGGCCCTTTCCAAATCTAATGTTCCTACGTTTCAAAACCAACATGCTTTCTCAACAGTTCCCCAAAGTCTTAATTTCAGCATTAATTCAAAAGTTCATAGTCCAAAGTCCTTCAATCAACTGGCCCATCAAATCAAAAGCAAGTTACTTCCTAGACACAACGGAGGTACAGGTTTTGGGTAAATAAAGCCATTCCAAATGCGAGACATTGGCCAAAACAAAGGGGCTATTGTCCCCATGCAAGTCTGAAATCCAGTGGGGCAGTCACATCTTTTTTTTTAATTGCATTTTAGGTTTGGGGGTACATGTGAAGAACATGCAAGATAGTTAAATAGGTACGTACGTGGAAGTGTGATTTGCTGGCTTCCTCCCCTTCACCTATGTCTGGCATTTCTCCCCATGCTATCTCTCCCCAGCTCCCCACCCTCCACTGTCCCTCCTCTATTCCCCGCAACCAACCCCTGTGTGTAGTACTCCCCTCCCTGTGTCCATGTGTTCTCATTGTTCAACACCCGCCTATGAGTGAGAACATGCAGTATTTCATTTTCTGTTCTTGTGTCAGTTTGCTGAGAATGATGTTCTCCAGGTTCAGCTCCTCAATGATCTCCTTTGACTTCATGTCTCACACCCAGATCACACTGATGGAAGAAGTGGTCTTGAGCAGCTCTGCCCCTTTGGCTTTGCAGGGTACAGCTCCCTCCCAACTGCTTTCATGGGTGGGCACTGAGGGTCTGAAAATTTTGCAGGTTTACTATAAAGCTGTTGGTAGATCTACCATTCTGGGCTCTGGAGGATGGTGGCACTCTTCTCACAGCTCCACTAGGCAGCGTCCCAGCAGGGACTTTGTGTGAGGGCTCTGATCCCACATTTCCCTTCTGCACTGCCCTAGCAAAGGTTCTCCAGGAGGGCTCTACCCCTCAGCAAACTTTGGCTTGGGGATCCAGGTGTTTCCATACATCCTCGGAAATCTAGACAGAGGTCTCCAAACCTCAATTCTTGACTTCTGTGCACCTGCAGGCTCAGCACCACATGGAAGTTGCCAAGGCTTCAAATCTGCACCCTCTGAAGCCACAGCCCAAGCTTTGTGTTGGCCACTTTCAGCCATGACTGAAATGTCTAGGAAACAGGGCACCAAGTCTCTAGGCCACACACAGAATGAGGACCTTGCCCCTAACCCACAAAACCATTATTTCTTCCTAGGCCTCTGGGCCTGTGATGAGACAGGTTACTGTGAAGACCTCTGACATGGCCTGGAGACATTTTCCCCATTGTCTTGGGAATTAACATACAGCTCCTTGTTACTAATGCAAATTTTTGTAGCTGGCTTTAATTTCTCCTCAGAAAATGGGATTTTCTTTTCTATCATTTTGTCAGGCTGAAAATTTTCTGAACTTTTATGCTCTGCTTCTCTTATACAACTGAATGTCTTTAACAGCACCCATGTCACATCATGAATGCTTTGTTGCTTAGAAATTTATTCCACCAGATACCCTAAATCATCTCTCTCAAGTTCAAAGTTCCAGAAATTTCTTGGGCAGAAGCAAAATGCCACCAGCCTCTTTGCTAAAATGTAACAAGAGTCACCTTTGCTCCAGTTCCAAACAAGTTCCTCATCATCCTCTGAGACCACCTCAGGCTGGACTTTATTGTCCATATTGCTATCAGCATTTTGGACAGAGCCATTCAACAAGGCTCTGGGAAGTTCCACATTTTCCTACATCTTCCAGTCTTTGAGCCCTCCAAACTGTTCCAGCCTCTTCCTGTTACCCAGTTCTAAAACAGCTTCAAAATTTTCATGTATCTT